AGTCAGTTGTCTTTGTCAATTGTTACACATTTGGATCGTTTGTTAAGTAATATTTATTGCCTTCTCGGATCTTTGATGGAGTTGAAGATTATATAATTGTAGTTACTCTCTACATTATTTAGACTCCTTGAGATAGAATGTTTAGCAAAACTTTTGATTCTCAATATTGTTTGTTATATTTATTTGTTATTATTGTATATAGTTGTATTTGGTTTAGTTCTGTCTTATTTAGACAAAAGGGGGAGATGTAGGGATAAGTCCCACCCCTTAGGGGGCGTGTTCGCCTCAGGCTAAAGTTCTCCTATAAAATTGGTGAGCGTGCTCCCAGCGCTCTCTTCTGCTTTCCTGGTCTCCGCGGGAACAGTGGTTCTGTAAGTCTATTCTTCCATTAAAGCTGTCTATATTTTGACAATCTGTCTGCATTCGCTTACGCCGTTACAATGTCCAACTGAGGATCCGTTAAGTAGATAAGCTGAGCCCAAGGGAGAAAACATTAATATCTGAAGCATTGCAAACAAGCACGGATGACCTCATCGCTTACGCTTCAGTTGACAGACAATAAAAGTTGTATTGCTACATGTATGAATCAGGCCGCTGTCCCGTTTATTGTGTGCTCTGTGGAGTGCGGGGCCCCTCAGGATTAGCTTCTCTTTCTACTGCTATGATAAAATGCTTGGAAGCGTCCCCTTAAGGAAGGAATTATTTTCTCTCACGGTTTGAGAGAGTGCAATGCATGGGGCGGGGGGGGGGGGGGGGGGGGGGGGGGGGGGGAGCAGCAGGGGGGGGGGGAAGTTCACAGCAGAGGGGGGGGGGGGGGGGGGGGGGGGGGGGGGGAGGGAGGGGGTGAAGGAATGGCGGAGCTCATGGCGGCTTGCGCCAGTGCATCGTGAACCACAGACATTGACCGGAAGTAGCAAAGGCCTATCACTCTCAGGTCCTACCTCGATGCAACTCACTTCTTGCTAGAGCCCTGCCCTGCCCCCGGCCCCCCACAAAGGTCCCCCAATCTCCTCCTAAAAGTGCCTGCAGTTAGGGACCAAGTGTTTAGATATATGAGTGAAATTTTTAACCAAACCATTGCCTTTTCTGTTCAGACAAAGATTCCACCCTGTACTGAGAACCGCCCTTTCTTTCTCCTCTGAGGTCATGATAGCATTTTGGCTGTCTAATGCGAATATGAATTAAACTGTCAATTTCTCATGTTTCTGCTTTAGCTTTGGTCCATACACCTCCAGAGTTGGAAGGCAGACGCCACCGTCAGATGTCCATGCACCCACCTCCTTGGGTGCTCTGAGAGCTTAAGTCCTCTGCAAACATCTGTGGAGAATGCAGTCCATCCTGCCTGGAGGGATTACCTACATGAGAAAGCCCTTATGAATCATGTTTATTCTTTCGGGCAGTATTCCAAACTTTGCTGAGACTAAATAGATAAAAACATCACCCTCCTCCCCGAGTATTGTTCCTTACGTAACTATCTGGACCTTAGCGCTTGAGTTCACAAAAGCCAAATACAAGCATGTCCTTGGCTTTTTCAACTTCGAAGAGACTTGGCTGCACTAGAATATCTGCATCTGAAAAGTCTATTAAATGTTTCCTTTTGCCTGTGAGATAGAAGCGGGACTGGTTGTTTGCTGGACAGTGAGTACTGAGTTCTCTCTGGGTAGACTTTGGCGTTTGGATTTCTGCTTCTCAGTTAAGAACAGCGAAACGAGTGAGAGCCCATCTGGAAAATCATTCCTGAACCAAATCGAGATGTATTTCGGATTTTGCTGGCTTGCTAGCTTAAGTAGATGCACCTTTTCTTTCTCTTCCCCTCTTCCTCCTTCCTGTCTTGTTCACCGTTCCTGCTAATTTGTTGGGAACTCCCAGCTCTGGTACAGCAGGCTCTGTTGCTGCCTTCTGCTGCCCAAGGGCTCTGCTTTGACTCAGACACAAGCGGTGAAAGGCGTGGTTGTTGAAGGAAAGCCCACAGCGCTTTGAATCCCTGGGTTATCTTAGAAATTCTCACCTAGGCATTTTACAGCCTCAATTGTTTGAAAGAAATGAAACAGCTTTTGCTAGTTAGGATATCTCATCTCCCAATTAAGCTCATCTCAATCCCCAATACTTCAATCAGGCAGGATTTTCACAATTTGCCCAGCTAGAGCCGTGTAATTTGGGCAAATCATTTAACCTCTGTGAGTCTGTTTCCTTATCTTTAACTGGAGAGAAATTGCAATGTGACCTTCAACCCTTCATCAAGGCCTGAGCCGGTAGGATTCTATAATTTCTTTTCCTTCCACGTATTACCCTTCAAAGAAGCGGAGCTGAAGATCTTCACACCACAAATGAAATCCAGCTCATGGACTGGGTAATATTCTAGTTCCTCTGCTAAGGGAATTTGACCCGAGTTCTTTTAAACGCAGGAAATAAGGCTACTATTACCTCTTGTCTCACGACAAGATTCTCACGAGACTAGGAGATGGTTTGACAGGGTGACTGACATGCCACAGATGGTCAATCAACATTAGATATTTTTTCTTTTGGAGTTTTATAATAAGAACTCTGTTACATATCTTGATCGATCTCAAGTGTGTGACTCATTCCTCATCAAATACACATTGGTCTGGCTCCTTCCCCAACCCCCCGATTTGCTATCTAGCTACCCCCATTTGTTAAGATGGGGCCAAATGGGATTCAGCAAAATGTAGCCCGAAAGGTCAGTGAGTCTTGGGCTGTAGACACAACTTCCTCATTTTCATCATGAAGAACTCTCGGCAGCTAACACAACTTGAATTTTCAAAGGAAGGAAAAGAAAAAAGAAAGAAAAACCCACCTGCCAGCCAGATTGACTCCTGTCAAATGCTCCTGTCAACACACATGTCCACCAAGGGAAGCTTGAGGAGCTGTGGTCCCTTTCCAAGAAATGTGTGCCAGCGGCAGCTTTGCCTGGCATTGAGATCAGAAAGATTCTTTTTCTTTTTTACAGTGCTTTATTTTTAAATTTGTCTGCACGTGTGTGTATGTGTGTATGTGTGTGTGTAGGGGGGGTATATGCACATGAGGCCACAACTATCAGATGTGTCTGGAGCTGAAGTTACAGGTGGTCATGGGGGGGGGGGAGGGACAACACCTCGGGTCCTCTGCCAAAGCAGTGTGAGGCTATAGGGGATGTCTCTCATCCACCCCGGATGCATTTCTTTTCTTCCTTCATTCCTGTTTGCCTTTCTTCACTGCACCTACCCAGCGGCAGTAAGAAGTGTGTCCTCAGGATGCCCCGTGACCCCTTGGTGGAGAGGACGATCAGATTTTTGGCTCTAGGGTTATCCGCATGGTTGAACCAACTCTTGCTGGAACACTCAAGGAAATCTGGAAGTTTTTGCACTAGAAACCCTCACTTTGATAATATCTTGAACACCCTGAAAGGGACAGAAAGGGAGAAGGAAGGACAGTGGAACGGCCACATTTCTTAGTTAAAATAGGGGAGGTCACAGAGGCTGGTCTTCCTTTTCCTGCCAATGAAGTTGTAGCAAAGTAACATGCTAAGTTCACACTGCCTTGTATTACACAATATATTCAGTAAAACCCAGAAGTGGGTTTTTATACGGCGTTTATTAAGATGGAGTGGAGGTGAGTTTAAGATCAAGTTGTAGAATAAGACTGTTTTTCTATTAATTTGAGTTTTATTTTCTTTCTTTCTGATAATTTTCTGGCACCTAGAGTAAGTTTCAAGAAGTTGTAAAAGATTTTGTTAGCTTGGTTTCTCCCATCCAAGTACTAACCAGGCCTGACCCTGCTTAGCTTCTGAGATTAGATGAGACTGGGCGTGTTCAGGGTGGTATGGCCGTAGACTTATTTTCTCTATGCCTGTTGTGCTCATGTTTGTCTTATTAATGCCAACTTAAATTTTATGTAGTACTGATACAAGTAGTACATAACACTACAAAAATTCATTCAAAGAATTCTGGCTAAATATGAATGAAATTCCCATGTATTTATGTTCTATTTTTCTAGAAAGGTCAATGCTCTGATTAGCCTGGTGTGTCAAGGTACATCTCTAATCCCTTCAGTTTTAACACTTGGTAGGTAGACACAGAAGGATGCAGCAGGTCAGATGCCTAAAGAGGCTACATAGTGAGTTCTAGGCCAGCCTGAGATACATGGGAACAAGCAAGCAGGGAAACAACCCCCCAGACCCCACACACATTCCTATTCATACCAAAGAACAAAGACTACCAGTGAGGTCAGCCTCACCCTGTGGCTGGTGGCACAGCACTAGAAGGACGTGAATGACTGCACAGAAACTGGCCTCAGAGGGTGCAGAACCACAAGTGGTTCCGATGCGAGAGAGGGCAGGCCAACACCAAGCCTTTTGAGACGTGCTGCAGAACCCAGGTTTTAGAATTGGAAGCACTCAGAGGTGAGGGGTGGAGCTGGAGACAGAAAACAGATTAGTTGAATCTCTACCAGCTCCAACATCTGATGCCCCCGGGCTAACAGCATCTGCTCTGTGTCCTCCACCCCCCTTCCCGCTTTCTCCTTGTTAATGTTTTCAAAGATTCACTTTACACGCCACACAGGGCTGTATCTCTACACTCAAATCCAATTGGAGAATACTTGGCTTTTGGAATGACCTCCCTAGAGCAAACACCTGAGTGTCGCTTGTATTGAGTTGATACAAGGAGACTAAGCCAAAACTTTTCTTCGAGCCTCTGATTTAACCAGGGAAATAGAAAGCCCAACTAATTTTAAATACGATAACATGTGCTTGGTGTGTCATGATCAAGCCCATGAGAGGCACAGAAGTCTCAGAGACAGGGAGGAATTTACTGGGTCTTGAAGAGTCAGGGTGTGTGATGGTTTCAAGGAACAAAGGCCCAGAGGCCTCAAGGCATGTCCTCAGGAACATTGAACCACCAGCTTGGGACTGATGAGCAACTTCAGACAAAAATATGCATGCAAGGTTGTTGCTGTGGTGCAGGAGCCTACTCCATGGGACCCAGAGGCCAGCAAGTGGTTTGACTTTTAGCGTCTCACTCAATGCGCTGTTTGAATGATGCTCAGACGTAAGGCTTCGGAGAAATGTCAGGAATTACATGTTCATCACAAGTGGACTGTGGCCACTCTCATTTAGTCGGGAGGCTTAAAGGGATCTTCCAGGATGAAGAGGGGTTGAGAGCGCAGATAACCTCTGTCAGTGTCATCTGCTGGATATCCGGGTCATGATTGGAGGGCAACGACATGGATGTGACTATAGCCGTCATAAAAACCCCAAGGAGCTATCTTGGGGCACACGGGGCTCAGTGGGACTCAGGGAGGGGAACACATTGGGGTGGTCAGACGGGCCTTATAGTCAGGAGCCAGGGATTGAGGGTGTGCCCGCACCAATCAGGGAGGCGCTCAGAAAGCAAGGGCTGTTTGGAGGACGGAAGTTGCTACCCCTGTATCTGAAAACGCCACGGAGGAATGAATGGAACATTGTAGTCTTTTCACTAGACGTTAGTGCATACATATGCCTGTTTGTATTCAGCCACTTAGCAACCGCTGAAGCAATTAATTAGCTAAAAAAGTAATTGCTGAATAGTAATGTGTGTTCGCCTTGTTTACAAACCACACCTGCCTCCGTGGATCTCATGGGCCCTTCAATGATGAGCCAGCCTCCTTCCAAATTGTCTTGTTAAAAGGCTCTGGATAATATACCCTGAGTTCACCATACTGTGGGGCAGATTTTAGGCTTCTAAAACCTTATTATTTGACTGTTAACTTCTGTATTTTATTGGCTATTTATGGTGATTTACAGTCCATTTATTTACTTAGCCATCTGGAATTTTAAGGGTTGTTCTATGAATATCGTAACTTACTGGCTTGGATTAAGTATTGATTTTTGAACGTTCCTAGGATAGCTTCTGTCCTCCAACTTGACAAGCCCGCGGTTTATTTTGAAATCACAGCGGAGAAAGTGCACGGTCTTCAAGTGTCCTTGAGGGAGCAGATTTCCCCTCCCCCACTGCACCACAATTTATTATTGTTTAAATCAATGTGTGGTTCCTTGCATACCAGCCTCTACTTTGGGTCAAACGGACTTAACCTCAGAACAAAATCACTTTGTGCAATGAAAAACAGGGCCCCTCCAGTCCTCTGGACCCCTTTCTCCATATCCCATAAGGGAAAAAAAGTTTATTTGACAGCCTGATAACCTTCAGCATAATTCCTCATGGAAATACGGCTGACATCAAGGGGAACTTAATGTCAACTGCAGTATTAACTCCTGCATGACAGGTAGACAGACCTCTAAGGGACAGTCCTGCAGGAGAGAGGACCCATGTGCTTAACAAAATAGTAAGAATAGAAAAGTCTCATATGTGCTTACATTTTTAAATATACAATCTTGACTTCATCCTGACTTTAACATTTTTTCTATAGTGCCTAATCTTCTATGCGATAATGTTAAAAAAATATTGATAGAATTATGAAAATGACTTCAGGTTTTGGCCACTCAGAAGCAAGGTGGAAGCCAGTGAGCCATTCTGAGAGTTTCTGTCTGTGGTTAACCTCTCTGTCTAGCTGCCTGCCGTTTATCCCTGGTTCTGGTTCCGAGTGTCATCTTGGAGACGGAGGGGATGTGTCTTAATGGGTCATTACATGGCTT